AATAAACTTGGAAGAAGGTCTCACAGAATGGTGTTTGATAATTAATAGATGTTGGGGATGCAGTCCCTCTGAAACTGGAGCATACTGACTGTAAATTTAGCTCTGATTTTATTTGGGAAGCATTTCACTGAGATAATGTCTTACCTCTGCAGCATTTGTAAATATATTTGATATCTCTCTGTAGTATCACAGGAGGAAAACAAGTCAGCATATTTACTCAGTGATAAATGCTTCAACTAAAAAAAAAAAAAAATCACACTAAACTAGCTAGAATTTAACTTTGTTAATATTAAGACAAACAGCTCTTTGGAGGAGGCAGTGCATGAAAAGTTTTGCCTGGTTCTGTTTTATGAAATGATAGTGTAACTTCAAAGAATTCCTCCATTTCTGGTTGATCAAAAAAATCACACACACTATTCTGGAAGGCAGCTGTGGGAAAAATCCTTCAAAGTAAGAAACAAGGATAATTATTTGCAACCTGCAGCCGAATGTGAGATAAAGGTGTCAAACCTGTGGTGATCCACATCTGAACTTGGATTTTGTCATAAGGAAAACGGGTCTGTTCTGTTCACTGTTGTTACTACCTGCCACATCTCTGCATCAGAGCATTATCCTACTACATGGCAAAGTTCAGCATAATCATCAGCCTCCCAGAGAAAAAGAGACAACTGGAATGTAGAAGGAAGAAGAGAAGGTCACGATACATGTCAGGGATGAAGTGTACTCAGTAACTTCACACCTGCTCTTGCTTTGCCTGCCTTTCTTTTCACCAGCTTCTGAAATCAAAGCAGAAATCAGAAATGCTATACAATTTTCCCCTCAATAAAAAAAAGCCAAAAGGCACAGTCCCCTCTTACAGCTCACATCCCAAGTTAAGAATCATTAATGCTCTTAATATATTACTAACAATGCCAAGTCTACAAAACATAGCCTTCTATGAAACATATTTATATGAACAGCTAATATGAGGATGTCAATGCAGCCTTATTATCAAAACTGGAAGTATGTAACAAGTTAGCCTTTGAAGAAACAAGAGGCATCTCTTTTTCCAGACAAAAAAAAAAAAGATAAGTTTTTCTACCAAGCCCCTCACAGAATCCATTAATATATTTATAAAATCATTTAGCCCTCACCACATAATCTCGGTATAGCATCCACTCATCTCTAGCTAATACAGCTGAGGAAGAGAACACAAGCTGTTCTGTTTGCTTCTTTGCACTGCTGTCACAGTGCAGTCTAATAAGGGCATACCATCTTACATTTTCAGAGACACATCCTTTTGCATTTCTAAACTGATAAAGCAACCATAGGCATGTGCATGCACGTTATCTTTACAGATATATATACATGCCTGTAGTAAAGGCATTACAACTTACTGTGAACAGTACTGAAGAGAGCTTACACTAGTTTATGTTATGTCTGATAGGCTCAGAGAGCTTAAGAAACAGCTGGAGATAGATGAGACATTGAAAAGAGCTGACAGTTTCTTCTTGGAGAGTAAATTCAGAGTCTGATGTGATAAAAGAAAAAAAAAAATCCTTCTGCTGCAAAAGAGCTGTGTATGTATGGGACAGTCATGAATTATGCACTTGAATAACTGCCCTTCCCCTTGGTCCCTTCAAGAATGAGAACATCTGAGTGATTATCAGAAGCACAGTATTTGTTACGACATGATGGCAAAAGATTGGATGAATTCATATGCTACACGCACACTACAAGGAAGATTGGCCTGGATGTAACCAACCAGATACCAGTAAAGAGCGAAGCCTAGAGGGAGGGGAAAAAAGATTGTTTTTGTGTAGTAGAGCTGACTTCTACACAGACGGCAAAAGTAACAGGTTCTGAAACATCAGAACTAACGAAGCCCACATACCTACAGATCCGCAGCTTGTGGGTGATTGACTTCAATGTGCAAAAAGGTGCAAGAGCAAAGATTAAAGCTTTTCCTATCATAAAGGCACTTAAGAAGTCTAGCTCTCCCCCTATTCTCCCTAGGTAACAAGTGAAAAGTGAGAGTCTTTTGCTCAGAGGGAACTTCTACAGTCTCCCTCTTCCACCAGCTACCTACTTCACCCAACCCCCAAGAATAGTGTCTTTCAGCTTCTACTCCTCTGTTAAACCAGGCTGAAGCTGGCTCACATACTCAGACCTATTGGTGGGGAGGGAGGGAAAGCTTAAGGGACACAGACGTACTCACGTACAACAGGATGATTTCCTTTTAAAACCCCTTCCTTATTTGAGGAATTATGGAGCCTGAGGTTGCAAATATTTTTTTTTTAAGTCAAGAATAAAAGATTCTAGTACTTTATCATATCTTCTATGGAAATATAAGTTCTTCCAGATTTCTTGAACCTTTAGTGTTAAGGAGACAAAGTAAAGATCTTTGTGGACCTAGAGCCTTCTGTAGCATTTAAGTAAACTACATTTACAATTTCTAACAGCCAGCTCAGCGAAGCTTATATATCTTAATCACATATAAGTGGGCATAAAAATCCAAAGTCTTACTAATTCCTAGTTGTCCGATATGAAGCTTTGCAAATGATCATCCTTTCTTCTTTTCCACCTACTACTGAAAGACGTAGTTTTCTGTATTACAGATTAGCTGCTGTTTATCAGCATGGCCATAATTTATTCATCCAGGCCAAACAGAATTTCACATTCATTATTAGCCAAACTTCTGGAAAGGCTTTGCAACCTGCATTTCTTTATCTGTACTTCTGTGGAGCTGAAGTTTTGATAAACATCAGTTGCAAGAATCCACTACAGCTCATGTACATGAAATGCTAAAACTATGAGCATGAATATCGAACACTTTTATGCTAATCATTAAAATGATCACAAATTGAAAACATACGATAGAGAAATCTGTCTTTTTATTATGTACAAGGAACATCAAAGCAAGCTATGGACGTTTCAGCTAGCTGCATGCAACTGAGGTATCACTTCTTTCACGAATTAAAGCAGCAAGGTTTTTTAAACCATAGGAAAGCTCACACCTCCAAAATACAAAGCCAAGAAGGGGTGGGAAGTAATTTGTGCAAAACTAGAGACATTAGACTCCTTGACAGGCCATTCTAGAAAACAAAATACTTAATCAAGGACAGCACTGTCAAAATAGTCAACGTTTTTTCACTCAGTTGAATTAAATGTAGGCTGTACAGCAGTAAGCCTTCCCCCCGCCCCCTTTCTTTTTCTGAGTTCATAGCTGATTTTGGTCTTTAGAAGCAGCAAGATACCAGACAAGCAAAAATGTGGAAGGCTTTAAATGGAATTATTTGATGTGGCAAAACGGCTTTTAGGGACCGGAAGTGTTTCAAAGAAAATTGTTTCCTGCTGTGTTAGAAAACTGTATCACCAAGAGTAAAGAAGAGGTTACCTACTTAGATATTACTGTTATCCGTTATTCCTTTCCCTTACACTATTTTAGAGTACATTATTCCTTTCCCTTTGAGTACCACAAACTAAGTCAGCAGCACAGTCTGTCCACATGGTCAGTGGAACAACTGACTTGCACTTGGTCTTTTCTTAGCATTTTCTTTCTTGCCTTAAAAGGAGATCACTGATCGTACAGATTTTACCTTCTTGCTAGGCAAAGCATTTAAATAAGAGATCCTTATATCCGCTTTTTGAAGTGGTGCGCTAATCCCCCTATTTGTTTTATTTTCCCTTGTGTTTTTACTTCCCTTCCATATGCATAGCAGTAAGTGATGTGCGGATCCTTTTCCCTCTGACACATGATTTATTTGGCTCAAGTTTCCACCGCTTTAGTGGATTCTGCCACCCTACTGCCTTTGAGTCACCAGAATTCCCTGTTCCTCAACTTTCAATCATCTGAAAACATAGCCCTCCTACCATTACATTTTGTAAGACAATTTTCAGTTTCTGCTCCAAGTCTTCTTTCTTTCCCTCTACATTTACACTAGGTATTATGGCATAAGCACAGCTCAAAGCAATTATCCTTATAGCCCTGAGACCACATTCCTTGTTCTTCTTTTTGTTCTGAACAGTTTCTTCTTTTCGTTCTGAACAGTTTCTTCTTTTCAGAAGTAATGCTACTTTAAGAATTGCTTTAAAGGAAGGTGGTGCTTAAGAGAGACTGCTTGTACAACATGTCCGCAGTCAACATTATCAAGGCTGCATAACCAAGAATATTGTTTTCCCATTACAAGCTGATATTCAAACAGGAATCGTAACATGAACAACAGGCTAAAATAATTCTATCCAACTGTATCGAAAGGCCTGATTTGGTTATCTGAATCTCAAGACCACATCAGCAGTGAGAAACAACTGAAACGCTAACGCACCAATATGTATGTACCTTTAAAAAGAGAAGGAAGAGCTGTCTGACTGTTCAAAAAGGAAAATAAAGACCACCACTCAGAAGAAAACTGGAGTGATTATCTGAAGAGCCACTTAGCTGTATCTCAGCCTGTTTGCACGTCCTGTTATTTAAAATGCAGCCATTGCTTTTCCAGTCCTCCCATTCGATTTTCCTCCCTAAGCCTCCTTGAAAGAGTCTGGACCTGCAGGAGAAACATGTCTTTGACAGCCATGCAATTATTCTTTTTAAAATCAGTTAGGTACCAGTTCATGTTGTTCCTCAAGTGCGGTTTGAAAAACAAGCATACTTATATACTTTTACGTATAATGAGCACTGAGTAAAGCTTAACTTGCATTTAGGAAATAAATGAAATAAACAAAATAAACCCAGAAAAATAGCTGGATTTAACAGAAGAACATGACTAGCTCAGCTAGTGTACCTCAGTTTTATTTCAACAAACGTATTTTTTACCTTTGCATGTTTGTGCACCAGATTTTGCCTCTCCCATTCACAAAAAAAGATCTTCTGGCATAAAACTATATAGCAACGTACAGTATAGAAGAATCTGGTTTGAACTGTCAAACAGGATTTACTCAGAAATATCGTTACGTATGAAAACCACAAGTACAATATTCTAGTTGTGGTATGTTGGAATAGGAGGAAAAAATACAGTTAAGACTGTTTCTATTTCCATATACAACTTTTATTGCAATACCTGTATTCTACATGTACAGATACAAATATAAAATGACCCATGACAGACTTTAAACCTGCCCAAATAGCGAACTGAGAAATTCATTCGGTATTAGAGCCAAAGTTGACAGGACTTCAACAGGTGATAGGAAGCTTCCCCAGTCTCTCTCCAAGAACAACCAGGATCCACCATATTTTTGGTCCAAGATGTATGCTTTAAGTTGGCAGCTGAGTCTATGAACGAGTGTATTTACCCCAGATGTGCAGCATAAACACAGAAGCAATAAAAAGAAGACTCATGACCAAAACTGGAACAGGCCCACTAAAAATAAAGAAAAAAAATGCATTAACATAAAAAAAAAGTCTACTTTGTCCAAAGGCCAGTCGTTATCAGCCAGATGAACTCATCAGTTCATAAGCAATTGTATGAGAAAACTCTTACTCCATTCCCATAGCAATATTTTAAAGTACACAGAAATGAGACAGCCATCTCTATCAAAAACTGCTGCTGCCCCTATGTTTTTAAAGGTAGTTTTACACACCCTAAATGTTACGTAACTATAAAGCACAATATAATAACAAAAAACCCCCACTTATTTAAGAAGTAATTAATGGTTCATTATGACTCATCGTTGTGAAAACAATCTCTGGAAAATTATCATCTGTATTTACTACTCAGATAGCCACCTGAGCAAAGATGTAGTCAGATACAAAAACCGACAGAGTCCTCTAGCGGCTAGTAAAATTTTGGCATAAAATTCGCATTAGCTGTTCAGAGGTTTTATTTAATTTGAAAACAATGGCAGCAGTGGGTGAGAGACGGGGACTTCTGTTTTCTTGAAAACGATACACTGAATGTCAAAGTTAACTCCATCACTAAATCATTACCTAGAATGTATAAATTAACAAATTTCTTAACTTTTTCCTTCCCGCTTTTATACGTTGTTTAGAAATTGTATAGTGATGTTTTTAAAAAAGTTTAATCTTAGGGTGCATGTTGAGAGACTAAACCAGCTGTTTCACGCTGTTCTGAGACACAACAATTACACACCCCATTACACGCGCTCAACCCTGCTTCGTATCACTTTGTACAATCTCGTTTCTGACTTTCAACCTGCTGTTGGGAGAAACACCATGAATTCTGTTATCCTCCAGGTTACTGTTTATAAGCAGGTAAATGTTACTTGAATACAAAGTAAAAAAGAAACTGAGAATGGATTGAAACAAATTTACTAACCTATTTTTCTATGAGATCATGGTCCATATACTTCAAATGTTCATAACTATAGTCTTACATTGAGTTTTAAAACTCAGTTATTATCTATCATAGACTTACTTGGGTATGGAGAACCCTGAACACAGACATAAAGCATTTAGCAAACAAACCAGTAACAAAACGTGCAAAATAAAAAAAGTCCGCATACACAGCGAGTACATAAGCAACCCTTATCAAGGGATATCTTTCACTAAGCAACAGAATGTACTTCGTAATCCCCAGTGTTTTATGCATATTTGAAGTTTATGTCCTACATAATATAAATCATAATGATATCAGGTGCACAAAGTCCTTACACTGTATCTGGATTACTATTTAGTTCATTTGAGCCTTTAGTAGTAGTAATACGTAAGCTACTCTTTGCCAAAGGCACACAGGAATAGAGAAGCACCACTAACCAGAACAGAGCAACATGGAAATAAACAGGGGGGATTGTTTGTGTGTTTGGTGGTTTTTTTAAACATGCAGATGACATTGATCCCCCTACAGAATAATCAGCTTTCCAATACTGACATGTATATCTCATTTCCTCCAGTCCCAAAGACAACCTGCCGAAACCCTGCAATTCTCCTCCATACACCTGAATCTTCTCAGCCCACCACACAGTTTAAATAAATAAATAAGTAAATAAACAAACCCAATTCAGGCACCTCTAAAGATTTGGTACTGTGCATTTGGTACTGCAATGCCTTTCATAAGGCTGCAGATTATACCACAAGCCCGATTTGATTCTCTATCATGGCTCCACAGGCAACACTGCCTATAGGCTCTTTAAGAAAGCTCAAGACAAGATACAGGAACCACAGGTACCAAGTGTCACAGAAAGAGCAACAAGTTTGGGTTTAGTCTTCTTTTCAAAGTGTGCGATGCTTGATCTGAGTTCTAAAGAGAAAAATACCACATCCCACTCTCAACCACATCCCCCACAGCTCCCTTCTGCTAATATTGTTTTTAAAGATATATATATTTTGTAGCATCCTGTACTACAGATAAAGGTACTTTCCTGAGGCAAACCAAACTTGCTTATTCAACATATTTATTATTTCTGATGTTGAGTACAGACACTAAATACCTGAAGCATCAGAGGTATAATTATGCGCAATATAAAACTTTTGATCTAGAGCGGAATTCTCCCGATCATAGCTAGCATGAAATAACCTGTTCTGAGGTGTTTTTATGTATTTTTTCATAGTACTTTTAAGAGCTCGTATTTTAAACAACATGAGAAAACACAAAAAAAAACCCACCACCAGGCTAAGCTTTCACACTGCTTTATGCAGTAGTGACCACAACCATTTCTAAAAATAGCTTCGGCTGAAGCACTTTACTGAGGCAACCGCAACCTCTCTATAACCTATTTGTATTTTTAAGGCTACTGAATAGGACAGAGATCATAACAATTGGTTGCTATGGGAAAAAAATATGTAGAAAAATACGTGGAAAGCTGTATGGAAGAAAATTGTTCCCAAGCCATGGTTCAGAAAACGTTGCATCTAGTGCACAGGTCATTTGTACAACCAACTCATTTTTACAGATTTGTTTCTTCCATTAAAAGCCTGACCACACAGCTACGCATGGTAGCTTGCCAAAAAAACCACTCCCAGTGTTCCAAAACCTTAAAACTGGGAACCACTGTGTTGCAACATAAATAGAAGGGAAAATCTATCTACTGACCTGCTTGTATTGAAGATTAGAACAACTGAGTGGCCATTCAACATCAAAAGCGAAACCAAGGATTCACAAGGAAACCTACTGAAGGTGGTAAACCTCCTTTGACAAGTTGTATCACAAGTCTATTGGGGAAAAAAAAAATCTACCTAATGGTAGAACACTTCTGTTTTTCTCAGTTTGGTTTTATTCTTTTTTTTTTAAATTGAGTTTTAGTAGACCAAACAACACAGAAAATAGTTGCCTTGCTTATCTGCCTAGATTTGCTCTAGAACACTATCGTTGCTCATTGCCTTTTCTTTGCCTTGTCTCCTCTCTGGATTCAGAATGGAGAAAGAGAGACCTGCAGTAGCAGAACACCACTACTTTGATGGTTTGCTGTATAGTTTTTGCTTTTTAAAGTGTCAAGCACATATGAAAATGAAAACACGTAAGACAACTTCAGAGGAAGGATTACTCATGGAACAATCACTAACTAGACTATCACCAGCCCTTCCCCAAATGTTCTGTTCATGCAGCCAGCAGCAGCCCTCTTAAAAGGCTCCAAAATAAAATACTAATGGATTCTAGAAAAAAGAAGCAATAGGGACATCCCTGAGTGTCTCGAGTCTCTTCAAAACTGAGTGGCCATTCAACATCAAAAGCGAAACCAAGGATTCACAAGGAAACCTACTGAAGGTGGTAAACCTCCTTTGACAAGTTGTATCACAAGTCTATTGGGGAAAAAAAAAATCTACCTAATGGTAGAACACTTCTGTTTTTCTCAGTTTGGTTTTATTCTTTTTTTTTAAATTGAGTTTTAGTAGACCAAACAACACAGAAAATAGTTGCCTTGCTTATCTGCCTAGATTTGCTCTAGAACACTATCGTTGCTCATTGCCTTTTCTTTGCCTTGTCTCCTCTCTGGATTCAGAATGGAGAAAGAGAGACCTGCAGTAGCAGAACACCACTACTTTGATGGTTTGCTGTATAGTTTTTGCTTTTTAAAGTGTCAAGCACATATGAAAATGAAAACACGTAAGACAACTTCAGAGGAAGGATTACTCATGGAACAATCACTAACTAGACTATCACCAGCCCTTCCCCAAATGTTCTGTTCATGCAGCCAGCAGCAGCCCTCTTAAAAGGCTCCAAAATAAAATACTAATGGATTCTAGAAAAAAGAAGCAATAGGGACATCCCTGAGTGTCTCGAGTCTCTTCAATCCAGTAAGAACAAGAGGCCATGAAGTATAACTCTACAAGAAGCACAAACTCCCGCTCAGGGTATGACTTAGCACACACCCATCAGCTGAAATACACCTTCCACCTTTGTTACCCAAATATTAGGCTGCAAAGCTTGTTTGGGAAACTGATCTGAATGACTCAAACTGGCCAAAAAGTAGAAACTTGGGCTCTCTTTACAGCTTATGGGAGACTACCACCAGATATTTGACCATAATCTTGGAATATTCACCTTGTAAAAACAGATATACAAGGTATCAGAATGTTATTCGCTTTGCAAGCTTAGCTAATTTATCTTCAGCTTCTTAATAAAAACACCTGAGATTCTGCAAACATGTGGCATGTCAGTTATATTATGTTTTCAAGGGGGGCACAGGATCACAATGTATCTATTAATAAAGAAAAAAACAAAAATTTCATTAAAGAGAACAAAAACATGCACGTAGATGCCTAAATTCACCGTGACAAGTAATCTTCCCCCCTTTCAAAGGCATTGCTTGCAGTCTTCAAAGGCCACTTAAGGTAAGTCTAGGCAATTACAAAATATAACTTGTACCTACCTTTTTAAAGCCACTACAGCTTCAAAAACTACCTCTCCAAGTTTACAGATTAAATACAATATTTCATCCCAAATCTATCTAAGCAGCCATCAATTCAGCTTGTTTTCCCATGCAGAGCAGAACATTGATCTCTCAATTTGAAGACTGAAAGATTACATAAGCAGGTGAAATATATAGCCCCCATGCCTGCCACCACGCACATATCCAACTTACACTTTGAGCCCTGGAGAGTCCTCAGTGTAGAATCGCCACATCCCACCAGTACCTGTGGAAGTGGCACGGCCTGCGCTTCTCGTCCCACAGCTGGCATTCTTCCTTTAGAGGATAACAGAATGAAACAGAGACCAAAACACGTTAGCGCTCTGCCAGCTTCTAGCACTAAGCACCCCGAGGGACTCTGCAGAAGCAAGACA